TAGAACCCATTCCTCCTCCCCAAGTCTTCTCCATGGGCTGGCCGGCCCCCGCTCCTCTGTATGTCTCTCTCAGTGCTTCACCCGGCCCACAACCCTCCTCCCCCCCAATCTTGCCTCTCAAGGGCAACAAGGGAGGAGTGAGCGTGCGGCTGGCGGCCTTCGGGCACATGCTCTGCTTTCTGAACTGCCACCTGCCAGCGCACATGGACAAGGCAGAGCAGCGCAAGGACAACTTCCAGACCATCCTCAGCCTCCAGCAGTTCCAGGGACCCGGGGCACAAGGCATCCTGGATCATGAGTACGGGCCAGGGAGGGGCCAAATGGAGCTTGGGCGGGGCTAGTGAAGGAGGGGTGAGTCTCAGAGGTGAGCGTCCACTGACTTGCAAGAAGAAACCTGAGTACCTGCCTGGGTGGACCTTGGGGGAGAGGCGGGGTCTATGGAGGTGGGTCACCACCCAAACTACATCTAGGAACACGAATACTGGGTAAGTTTGATGGCGGGCGGAGCCTGCAGGGTGGTACTTTGCTGAGGGGCAGGGCCTTACTGAGGGTCTGAACCTAACTTTCCTCTAGATCCGCACCCCACTGCTGCTCCTTGGCGGGCTGAAGGCTCTGCCGCCACTCACCAGCCACTCACCGACCCACTGCATCATCGCTAGGGGCAGCCAGTGTTGTCTGGTTGGATGGGGGTGGAGAAGGATCTGGGTTGGGCTCTTCCACCCCATGGACCCTGCTGATCTCAACCCTCGAACAGCCTCGTGTTCTGGTTCGGGGACCTAAACTTCCGCATTGAGAGCTACGACCTGCACTTCGTCAAGTTTGCCATTGACAACGACCAGCTCCATCGGCTCTGGGAGAAGGACCAGGTGTGGAATCCCAGTCTGCACCCCAAACCCCCAAGCCACAGAGCGTGCCTCGGGACACACCTGTACCCTAGGCTATGATCCTTGCCCTTATCCGTCCTGCCCAAGCTGTTGTCCAATTCTGCCCTTGTGGACCCTCACAGCTCAACATGGCCAAGAACACCTGGCCCATCCTGAAGGGCTTCCAAGAGGGGCCCCTCAACTTTGCGCCCACCTTCAAGTTTGATGTGGGTACTAACAAATATGATACCAGGTGAGCTCAGCACTGGGATGAAGTGGGGATGTGGGCTGAAGTCTTCTGGACAAGAGAGAGAGGGAGGAGGGTCAGGAGGCAAGGCTGGGGGCTGTGCCTTGATCCACTGCCCCTGAAACTCTGGTTACATCCGCCCACTACAGTGCCAAGAAGCGGAAGCCAGCCTGGACAGACCGTATCTTGTGGAAGGTCAAGGCTCCACGTGGGGGTCGCAGCCCCTCAGGACAGGAGAGCCACCGGCTCCAGGTGACCCAGCACAGCTACCGCAGCCACATGGAATACACAGTCAGTGACCACAAGCCTGTGGCTGCCCAGTTCATCCTGCAAGTGAGTCCTAGTCTCATCCTCCCCGAATGACATCCCCAAGCCCAGCTCAGCATTCCATAGCCCAACCCTTGCACCTGCCTTCAGCAGCACCCATTTGTCAGAGCAGAGTGGGAGTGAGTTATGATCTCCATTTTTGGATTAGGAAACTGAGGCTCAGAGACACAGCATCACTTGCCTAGGGTAAAGAGAAGAATTAGGAATTGCACCCAGGCTGGCCTGAATTCAGAACCCATGTCTTTTCCACTATTCTCCAACTCCCTTCTTCTATGAAAGGTTTAGGGCAACTTAAGGTAAAATTTGCATGTATAATAAGGCCAGCAAATTCACAATGTTTACTTAAACCTCATGCAGCATTCATTCATATTCGTTTATTATTTACTTACTATCTTACCATTTGCCAAGCACTGCAAGAGTAAGGTAGTGATGGAGAGGGAGAATAGAGATATAAAAAATACAAAGCTAAACTCTAGTTATAATTTAGCATCGTGTTTAGGATTAAGGTCCCTAGTCGCCAAAAAAAGGGAGGGGTGCAAGAATGTCAGAACATCATAACTGGACCTGAGAGACTATTTAGTCCAACTCTGTTTTTCTATGGGGAAACTGAGGCCCCTAGGGGAGTAGGCATGTGCCCCAAGCCTCACACAGGCTCAGTGGCAGAGTGGTGTAGATTCCATCTTTTCAGCCGTGAAACACAGCTCTGGACTCTCCTTTCTCTTGATCTGATAAGAGGTAGTCCAGTAGGCCAGAGAATGTTTTCCTTGGTGACTTTGTCACATGGTCAGTCAGTGGGACATTGGCCAATATCCTCAGCTGGGAAAGGATATCTGCCTATGTCTGGCCTCTCATGACCTTTGGTAAAAGTCTTGGGCATGAGGTTTAACCCTCACCTTGAGACCTACTCCTTTTGGGCACCCTACCCTGACCTTCCTTCCTCATCCAGGACTCTGTCCTTTGTAAAAAGTTATCTGTTGAGCACCTCTACATACCACACCCTGTATGGTGCACTTTTACATGTCATCCCCTTGAATGGCTTAGTAGGCCCTGAGATGTCCATATTCTCCATGTTACCTGTGAGAGAAACTGAGACTCAGAAAACTTAAGTCTCTTACTCAAAGCAACACATTCAGAATAGGGCTCAGTGGGAGTTTTGACCCTGCAAAGCCCTGGAGGGTATCTCCAAGAGCCCACCCTGACCAGACCCACTGTGAAGAACCAGGGGCAGGTAGCAGATGTGCTGGTTTCTTCTAGAGCAGCTTGGCCCAGAATCTGAGGAAGGAAATCTGAAACCAGGTAAACAGGGAAAAGGCAAAAGCCTGAGGCTGGCACCACGTGAGTCCTTCCCTAAGGGACAGAGGTGGAGCTAATAACCTGGCCACCTGTCACCCCAGCAACCCACCCACGTGGATGACTCTGGGAGGAAGGTACTCCTGGCTATTTGTCTTCAGGAACTGATGACAAGGTCACAGTCATCCCTTAATACAGGTGGGGAAACCGAATCTTGAATTGGCTAGGGGCTTACCTGAGGTCACACAAGCAAGTTAGTAGCACAGCCTAGAAGTGAACTGAGGTCTCCAGCCTTCTACCCAGGGTTCTTCTTCCCACTTAGGGGTGTTCAGCTTGCCCTACATTATCCAGTACCTCATGTTTCCCTTGCTAGCATAATAAGCGAATCATTTACTGAGCATCTACCATATACTTGAAAGTAGACGCTATGCTTTACAAATGGAATCTCACCGAATCTGCAGCACAACCCCAGGAGTTAACTAAGATGATCTACATTTACAGACAAACGCCCTGGCATTCAGAAAGGTTGAGAAGCTCATTCAAGATCAAACAGCCTGTCAGGGGCAGAGCCAAGGCCAAATCCATGGTCTCCTAGTTTCAAAGCTGTGTTCTCACTCAAAATCTAAGAAGGCTGTGGGCAGAAAGAGCCCTGGGCTGGGAGGCAAGAAGCCTGGCATTTATCCTAGACCCGTTCTGCCTCAGTTTCCCTATGTCTGCAGTGGCTTCAAAGGCCCTCATCTCAACCTATTTGTGCTGACTGAGGCCCAAGGGCCCTAGGTGCATGGAATACTGGAGGGTTTCCCCTGATATTGCCCCCTCCCCCGGGCAGTTTGCCTTCAGGGACGACGTGCCGCTGGTGCGGCTGGAGGTGGCAGACGAGTGGGTGCGGCCAGAGCAGGCTGTGGTGAGATACCGCATGGAAACAGTGTTCACCCGTAGCTCCTGGGACTGGATCGGCTTGTACCGGGTGAGAAGGGCAGGGGTGGTCAGTGATTTGGGGAAAGAAGGGCCTGGAGGAACAGCCGGGTACCCAGGTGGGATCACAGGCTTCTCAGAGTTTGATGCCACACCAGGCGGCTGCTGAGATCAGGCCACAGGGGTCACCGCCCTGATTCCTCTCACCCCAGGTGGGTTTCCGCCACTGCAAAGACTACGTGGCTTATGTCTGGGCCAAACACGAGGATGTGGACAGGAATATCTACCAGGTACTCAAGAGGTAGTGAGGAAGGGGAAAAAGGCCCCATCACCCTTGGGGGCTCAGGACTCAGCTTGGGGGGTTCTGTGGCTGCCTCCCTCACCCCAACCTGAGCCTATACCCCTGGGCCCACCAGGTGACGTTCAGTGAGGAGTCGCTACCCAAAGGCCATGGAGACTTCATCCTGGGCTATTACAGCCACACCCATAGCATCCTCATTGGAGTCACTGAGCCTTTCCAGGTGCGTAGACCAGACTACAAGGTCAGGGGTGCCAAAAGATCCTGTTCAAATGCCACAGCCTCCAGATTCTTCTCTGTGACCTCCTGCAAATAATTTGACTTCCCTGGGTCTGCCCGGGAGTGTTGGAGTGGTTCCAAGAGGCCTCAGTGGCCAGCTGGGGAACGGAGCGCTCGAGAGACCAACTTTCCCTCCAGATCTCGCTGCCTACCTCAGAGGTGGCCAGTAGCAGCACAGACAGCTCAGGTGCCAGCTCAGAGGACGAGGATGACAGCACTCTGGAGCTGCTCGCACCCAAGTCCCGCAGTCCCAGCCCTGGCAAGTCCAAGCGTCACCGCAGCCGCAGCCCAGGCCTAGCCCGCTTTCCTGGCCTTGCCCTGCGGCCCTCCTCCCGAGAACGCCGAGGCACCAGCCGCAGCCCCTCACCCCAGAGCCACCGCCTACCCCATGTCGCCCCTTACAGGGGCAGTGATAGCGGCAGCTGGGGCAGTAGTGAGGAGGGGCCCTCTGGGCTGCCTGACCCCTGGGCCTTCCCACCATCTGTGCCTCGAAGCCTGGGCTTGCTGCCTGCCTTGCGCCTGGAGACCGTAGACCCCGGAGGTGGCAGCTCCTGGGGACCTGATCAGGAAGCCCCAACCCCTGACAGCCTGTCTCCCAGCCCTCAGGGCCAGCAGAAGCTGGAAGAAGGGGGCCTGGAGCCCTGAAAGCGGGTGGGTAGGTGGGCCCAGGTGGCTCTCACTCTGTCTTAATCTTCTGCAAGCCCACCTGCCTTCCTCCTGCTGCTGCTCCAGCTTTATCTGCACCTGCCACCCTGCCTTGGCCAGGGGTGGGCAATTGGGGTCCCCCAAACTCCGTCCTAGCACCTCAACTGTGACAATCAGCAAAGGTCTTTCCAGACCCCTATCTGGGATAGGGGGAGGGGCAATCCTGGAGGTCATCGATTAGGAATTAAATTCTTCAGCCTCACTCCTGACTCTTTCTTAACTTGTTAGCAGTCTAGGGGGTGGGATAGTCAAGAGTAAAGGACTAAAAGAGACAACAACAGATCTGACAATTTACCAGACATCAACTGTATACATTACACACGCCATCTTTAATCTGTACTACAACCCTGAATTGTGGTGTTGAGTTCGGTGTAGTTCTTAGCTTCATTTCACAGGTAAGCAAACTGAGGCCTCCAAAGCGTTGTGTGAGCCTCTCAAAATCAGACCTAAGTACAGTTTGGTTGTGTGCTGGAGGGAGGGAATATTTAGTAGGTCCTAAGAGCTATCCATGGTTGGTTCACTTAATCTTCAAGGATTGGTTCACTTAATCTTCAAGGACCCTATGAGGTAGGTCCTGTTTACTCTTCTCTTTTGTAAGGAGAAAACAAAGGCTTAGAGTTGGGGAGGGATGTTCCTTGTTCAGGGGCACAGAGGAGCTGTGCATTTAGGTTTAGGGCAGGAAGAGTAGGCCAAGGCTGGGCCAGGAAAGACACAGCAGCTGTTAGAAGAGAAGGGATTCCCCCTGGGAGGAAGAGAATTGTGAAGTCCCTCTAGTGCCCCCCATCTTGGGTTTAGACACAGGCACTTCTGTGGCATCCCTCATTCCCTATTTTACCTGATGCCCCAGGTACTCGATCTTCCCTGGGCATGACCTTGACACATGTATTCACTTTGCAGCATGGACTTAAAATACACTTTCTCCTGGTACCTCCTAGGCCCGCTGCAATTAGTTACCCCCTCCCTATTCCCATCTGGAGTAAAGTTCCCTGGCAAGGTACAAGCCTAGGGCATCAGAATGAGCCTTCTGAACACCACATCCATGCACAGAGGGTTTGTATGCCAGCCCAAGATCACCCAGCACAGCAGGAGCTATAGTCTAGCATTTGGGCCTTGGCCCTCCTCTCCCCAATCCAGCCTTCTGGCTGTCCGCAAAAGCCTGGGCCATGCTTCAATCTAACACAGGAAGAAGAGACTGAGACCCCCAGGCCTAGCAAAGCCAGGGGCAAGATCATCTGGTGCCCAAGAAAGCTGGAACTGAAGTCATTGTTTCCAGAATTTCTGCTGCTCTCTGGGTTCTCAGGCTGCCTGGGTCAGCTGCAGGCACCAGTCATAGAATGACATGGGGGCCCTTGGGTGCTCCGAAGGCCGTGCCTGCTCCTCATCTGTGCCTGTACCCCAGAGCTGGAGTCTCCTCTGCTGAAGTCGCCGCAAGTGCCTAGCTGACACCTTGATGGCCTTAGGGCCCCTGGAACAGCTGTGGGGAAAGAAAAGTGGGGCAGGCAGTCAGGACTGCCAATGATCCCATGCTACTCTGCAGACTGGGGAATGGAGGCCTAGTGAGGAGCAGGGGGTGGGGCCACGGAAGGGTGGTTACACCTAGAAGGAGGCAAAATAAACCTGTCCTGACATCCAGAGGCCTGGGTTCTGTCACTGACCGGCTGCCTGCAGATACCTGAGCCAGTCTGACTTGTTTCCTCACATGTGAAATAGGAAGAGTAACAAGGGACAAGGAGCTGGCTTTGAGAATCAAAATGGAAATGAGATCGTGAGTTAAGCAGTTTACTACATGCCCATAGGCCATGGGCTATGTGTGTCACACACGCCATTTCCTTGGTGTATACAACCATTTTACAGATAAGGAACCAGGTGTAGAGAGGTGACTCAAATTGTAAGGTCACATAGGAAGTAAATGACAGTGTCAAGATGCAATCCACATGGGCCAGATGCGGAGCTGAACCCAGGGCACCAGTGGGTAGGGAGATGATAACAATATAGCTCAAAGGTCTCCCATCCCCTGCACCCATCCCTTTGGCCCAGATGCACAAAGGTGGAGGCAGGTATAGGAAGTCCACGCCTTGGGAAAATCCCCCAATCCTCCTGGCTCTACTGTTACTTACCCTTTGTGCTCAGCACAGTCCAATGGAGGAACCAGCTTGAAGCAGGTTGTGCCCAGCAGCTCCCAAAGCACGTTGTTGCCCACAGGTGGGCTATGGAGCCTCAGGAAGCGTGCCAGTCTGAGGGCAGAGGCAGGCTTAGGCTGGGACGGGGCCTCACAGCCAGGTGTCTGGCATCAGGCAGCCCACCCCTAAGGGTCCAAGCAGGCCTCACCGGCGTGTGCAGTCGCAATGGAAGAGGGGCTCTGGGGCACTATTGAGTAGCTGGAACTTGGTCTCCTGGGGCTCAATCTGGTGCTCACACTGGTCTAGATGGCGGAAGCTGCGGCAGGCCTGGCGGACGCCTGGGGGTGGGTGTGGTAGTGAGGAGAGCTCAGTCCCCCAGGAGGCCCACTGATGCTCACTGCCATCCAGAAGAAACACTGGCACATATGCTCAGTCACACACACACACACACACACACAGACTCCTTCCATCTCATGCCTTTGTGCCCACAGAGTCTCTCTCTCTGCCCCAATCCCCTCTCTCCCACACACACAAATATACACAAACACAAACACATACATGTAAGTGCTACAGTAGTGGAGGCTCAGAGTGCTGAGGCTGGTCAAGAAAGTCTTCCTGGAGACACAGGCTGATAAACTGAGGCTGAGAGGAAGAGGAGGAGGGATTGCTCCAGGCAGAAGGAACAGAACGTGCAAAGGCCCAGAGGTAAGAAAGAGCAAGTTGCCTTTGAGGAACCAAATGTTTGTGAAACTGGAGTTTTGACTGGGGAGTAGGGTCTGTGGGGCCAGGGTTCCTGGGTGTTGGGATATCATCAGCTGAGGTAAGAGGAGCCATGGTGGGGGCTCAGAGGGGAGCGACATGGTCAAGTTTGGGGTTTACGAAAATCCTTCTGGCTGCAGCATGATTTGATGGAAAAGGTTGAAAGACCCCAGGAGGAGTTTGGAGTAGGAAAGGAAGCAATGCAAGCCCCCCAAACCTCCCACATGTACAGAGGTAGAGAAATTTTCTCATATCAGGAGCCCCCAAGGTTAGGTTCTGAGCTCACCCTGGTAGTTTAGGCCACCCCGTGGCCCCTGGAGGCCTGGATGGGTGACCTCCAACTGGGCTGTGGGGGCCATATCAGACCTGAGGGAGGCCACGGGGGCCTGAAGGGCTGTGGCGTTGGCTTTGTTGGGGTGCTGGGACGCTTTCCTCTGTGGCAGCCACTTCCGAGGGTGCTGCTTCTGTCTCAGCTTGCTGGGGGCTGGGCTCTGGGGGCTAGGAGTCAGGGTAGTGGCCGAAGAGCTCCAGGAGGCATTGTAGAGGGTCTTAGGCTGCAGGCGGGCGAGGGGTATGGAGCCATACATTCTACACCTGGGAGGTGGCAATTGGTGGTAATTAGTAACCCATAATCCCTCGCACCCAGAAGCCCCCTGGGTCCATGAAGACCAAGGCTCTGTTAGTCCCATCCCTTATCCCACTGGGTTTTGTGGGACACCAGGAGGGGGGGGTTCTGCATCCTGGTCCCCGCCCTGAGGGGAGGACAGGGAGGACGAGACATACAGACTGGCCTCCCTTTCTGGGCTTGGAGCCTGGGCTCCTCCTCTGGCCGAGAAGGGGCTCCAAAGGGGCAGCTACGTACCCGCCCCACCAGTACCACGCCACACACGCCTCCTGCTCCTCCAGCACAAAGCAGGGGATCTCCAGCACGTTGAAGAAAGCCATGCCAACGATGTCGGAGATGGAGTCCTGCTGGTTCTGCAGGCATTGCTGGAACCTGCCCCAGAGGCCGCACCAGAAGTGAACCATAGAGGGCCACCTGGCTCCTCCCCAACCCACTCAGTCACTACTAGCTAAGTGGTTTGGGGTCTGAAAGTCTCTTCTTCTCTCAGGCCTTAGCTTTCACACCTGCACAGTGGGGTCCAAGCTGTCTGATTTTTTAGGATTCTCTGGAATCTTAGTCTCTGCCCCTAGGAACTGGGTAACTATACCCCACCCTTGCACCTGCAGCCCCCCTGCCCTGCCAACCTGGCATCACAGTCGCAGTGGGAGATGGTGTGGAATCGGTAGTTTCGGATGCCATAGTTGTACTGGAAAGGCGAGATGTTCTGTGGGCAGAGGTCATGTTCTCGGCAGCAGAGATCCGGGCCATGGAAGACCCCTTCAGGGAGCAGAGGGGGTACCAGCTCAGCAGGGTCCTGAGCACCACACACTGGCTATGCCCACCTGGTGTCGGGAGCAGAGACCCGGTTTTCACCCAAGCCCTGACACAAATGCTCTGGGAGGCCTGAGGCCAGTCACTCTCCCTCTGTGGGACTCTCACAGTTTCAAAGCTTAAAGAGAGCACCAAGGCACGGCCCCTACTGCAAGTACCATGCAGCCCACCCAGGAGCCCTCGCCCAGAGAAAGGCCTGGCTGGGAGGAACTCTGGAGGCGGACCCGAGCTCACACCCATATTCATGAGGTCGTGAATGTGTGTGGAATGGAATGGCAAACAGGCAGGGTGTAACCTTTTTCTCTGACATGATGAGGCCTTGTCAGGATGCCAACCTGCTCCGACTCAGGTGCCAAGTCCTCCCCAACCCTACACACATATGCACAGACAGCTGTGCTGAGAGTGCAAAAGAGCCATTCGTGTTTGTCACCACCTGAGCAATAGAGCCTTTTACTGAGCATTTTCAAAGTGCCCAGCATTTTCCATACCCAAGCTCACGGCGACCCTGCAAGGCAGGTGTCGTTTCCATTGTCCAGGTGAATAGTGCTATACTGGAATTTAAACCCAGGCTTTTGGGTCTCAGCATCCACTTCATTTGGGTAATAGCTTTTTGGCTCAGCCAACCCCGGATCTACCCCGGCCTGGCCCCTCCCTCGGATGGTGATTAACGAGGACTCCCAGGTGTAGGTAGGACCTTTCCCATCTATGACCTAATTTAAGCATCCCATGATGAGACTTACAGTAACCCACATTTTACATATAAGGGTATCGAAGTTCAGAGTGGCTATGTCACTCCTCCAAGGACAGACAACCTGGAAAGCCTGCACTGACACGACCTCAGCCCCCCAGCCCACACACACATGGCTCACCCAGCTCCGAGGAATTTCCAGCAGAGTCCCCGACTCCACACCACAGCGTGCCAGGCATGGTCCAGCCTCTCTTTCCCCGCAGGACAGGTACTCCACTCTGTCCTGCTGCTCGCTTCTTCCTTGCCCCTGCTGGACTCCCATCAGGCCCTTGGCAGGCCTCCCACTGACTCCGAAGGTTGGCCAGGGCTCTCTGCAGCTCAGGCCCAGGGATGTGGATGAAGGAGCCCCGGGTGATCTCATCAGCACAGAGGACACTGAAGGCTGCAGTGAGCTCTGGCTCATCTTGCCGGCTACATGCTTGCAGCTTCCCGTGCCCATCCCAGTAGGCGTGGAACAGGGCCAGTCTCTGGGCGTCCTTGCCCAAGAAACTCAGGGACCCCAAGGGGCTGCCAGGGATGGGCCTGGCCAAGTGGCAAAAGGTGCTGTCCCAGTGGAGGGCAGGAGAACCCCCCAGAACCACTCCCAGGAGGCTCAGCACCCCCAACAGCACTCCCAGAACCCCCATTCCTCCCTGACCCAACCCAGTCAGACAAAGCCCCCAGGTTGCCTACCCCTGGTGGCCCACGAGGCAGCAGCTCAGAAGCTGAGCGGAAATGGTACCCAGTAGACCCGGTGCGCGTTGGGGCCAATGAATGGAGCTTTAGGAGGAGTTGGAAGGAGGCTGGAGTATGGGGTGATCTCCGGCTTGTAACTCAATCCACCGGCTGGGCAGGATGCTGATTGGCTGAGGAGGGCACTTGCCGGGGCCCACGCCCCCACTCACCCTGCCTTTCTCATCCAGTCACCTGCTGCCAGCCCTGCCTGGTTGGGGACTATGAGAGCCAAAGCCCTGGGCCTTGGGGGCGGGGCCAAGAGAATCTGTATCTCCCTGGTGAAGGAAGAGGGTTCGGGGGCTCAGAGAGGCTCCTAGAATTTATCATTATCCTCCCACTCCAGTGGTGACGGCCACATACCCCTCCATGAAGCTAGCAGGAGGCCGTGGGCCTCCTCCAGGACTGGGTGAAGGAGGTGAGGGCAGGGCTGGGGCTGTGTAGCCATCCCACTTCCCCAGGAGCTTCTAGGAAAGGAAGGCTTCTGGGAAGTGGGTGGCTATCCCCGTGCCACCTACATTGCTCTCCTCAAGTCCTGGTTCTTAGAAAGGCTCTTGGCATACCCAGGAGACTGCCTCAGAGCTCCCCACTTCCTGGGACTCCAAGCGCAGACTGTTCAGCAGCGCCCCCTCCTGCTCTGATAGATGATAGGTAGAGACACAGCTAGAGCAGGGCTTGAGAGCAACATGGAGCAGGGCTGATGCTCTGGACTTGAAAGGACTATGGTCCCCAGAGGAGCAGGCATCATGTCCCCCAAGAGATAGAGGTGGCCTATCCATCAGGAAGGGGCTTACCCTGTACATGTTCCCATGTCCCAAAGCCGGGGGCGGTGCTTCTACCCATAGTGCACATGACGAAACTGAAGCTTGGTGAGCATGTGGAAACCTTAGGCCCCAGCTGGAGAGTGCAGCTCTTGAGGGACTTTGCTGGGAGATCAGGGCCAGCTGGTATAGACACCAACATCCCCCACAATCTCCATCCAAGTCTCTCCCAGGAGGATGAGCCCTGGTGAGGCAGAGCCAGAGGCAGAGCTAGAGAAAGGGAATTTGCCATGCAGAGGAAGGGGAAGGGGGCTGCAGAGTATGCAGGCCTATCTCTGTGGCTTCAGAACCAGCCTGGACCTCTGGCCCAAAAGGTCACAGCTGGGGACAATGACGAGAAGGAAGGATGGAGGTAGTCCAGGAGCCAAGCTCCTTCTCTCCAGAGGTTGGGAAAGAGGATGGAGAGTAGAGCGAGTGATGCTGGGAAGGGAAGGGAGACCTGGAGCTCCCAAGGGCAGGCACAGAATTGAACAAAGGCAGGTGTGTCTCGGAAGAATTCCAAGGTTTGGAAACCATGGTTCGGTAACTTTCCTCAGTTGTAGGAACTGCCTCCCTGCCTCCCTGCCCCCCTTTTCCATGTTGTAGAGCCCTTGCCTGCCCATCACTCAGGGAGGCTGGGAGGTGCCACGGCAGGACCCTAACTTTCAAGATCAGACAGACCTAGCTTGGGTCCCGACACTGTGTGACCTTAGGCTTACAAGTCTTAACTGCTCTGAGCCTCAGTTTCCTCATTTGTACGATGGGCATAATCACAGTAACCACTTCACAGGGTGTTGGGGAAGACTCTCAGCACAGTGACTTTGATCCAAAACACTGTCATTAAAGCCTCAGGACCACCACCCCCCCCCCCAGGCTGGAAGCAATTTATCCCAGAGAAAGCAAGTCCCAAAGTGTTCAGGCCACAGCCTCCATAATAGCTAGTCCTGCTAGATTCTATGACTTCCGGTTTGTCCCTGCTCCTCTCTGGGCCTGTTTCTTCCTCTGTTCAGTGACAGGTACAGTGGAGTTGACCTTTGAGGTCACTTCCTATCTGAGTCTCAGAGGGAGGCAGGCATCGAAGGAGGGTGTCACTGGGTTTTCCCTTCAGCTTCCACCTAGCAGCCTTGTCAGTCAGCCTACAGGACAGGCTCTGCCTTCCACCGGGATGCCCCTCAGAGGCCTCAGAGCAGAGGGTGACAAGAGCCAAACCAGCCAGACAGGACAGGGCAGGCTGGGCCCTGCAGACAGAAAGGGGGCAAAGCTTTACTCCGGGTCCCCACATCTTGGGTGGGGCAGGGTACGCAGTGGTTGCCAGTAGGGAGGGAGGTGTGGGGCCTGTGGGAGAAGGCAGTCCCTCCTCCCTCCCTGTCTGATTGTTTACTCCTATCTCCCTCCGTTAGTCCCCATCGCTCTCCTAATTCTCTCCTTTTGGCTTCTCATCCCTCTCTGTCTCCTTGTCTCTTTGCCTCTCTGAATCTGATTCTCATAATTCCTTTCTATCTCTTCCATCCCTCTGTCTCTCTCCAACTTTCTCTCTTTGACTCTACTTCTCCATCCTATTTTCTCCTCCATTTCTTTATCATTCTCTTTAACTCTTCTCTCTCTTTACAGTTGTTCACTGTCCCTCCTGCTATTTTATTCTCTGCCCTCCCCATTATTTCTCTCCATTTTTTCTGCCCCTCTGTCTCTGAGTCTCTCATTATGCTCTCCCCACTCTCACTTTCCTTCTTTTTCCCATTTTTCTTAATTTTTCTTCCTTTCTCCTTCCCTCCTTCTGTCTCTCATCTTCTGTTTCCTCTATTTCTTTCTGTCTTTTGGTGTCTCTCTCTCTCTCTCTCTCTCTCCCTCTCTCTCTCTCTCTCTCTCATTCACTCCCTCTCTAGCTCTCATGTTTTTCTGTTGTGTGTGTGTGTGTCTGCCTCTTATAATTCTCCTCTCTTCTACCATTCTCTGTCTGTTCTCCCTTCCACACATCCTGACCCAAGGCCCAGGACCCAGTTGGCCCCGCCCTTCCTGTTCACATTTTCCCAGCATTAGTCTCATTTGATTCTCACAACTCCTGCCCCTCCCTGGGGAGACAGACAGGGCAAGGTTTCTCATCCCACTGTCCAGATGGATACAGTGAGGCCCTAGAAGAAAAGTGACTTGCCAGGGGTCACAGAGTGAATCAGGAGAGAAACCAGATCGGACTTGCTCTGGCATGTGGGGAGGGGGGCCTCCCTTGGCCCTGGGAGACTCTCGGCTCTCTCACAGACTCCCCACCCCAGGACCTTCCACCCCACTGCCTAGAAGGTGCTCTCCCTCTGCCCCTTGGAACTGGCCCTCTCAGCCCATCCGGAAGGCTCTCTACAGCTCTCTGTGCCAGGAGACCGGTGCCAGCAGTGACTAGCTCCAGAATATTCTGCGTTCATTCGAAAACAAATAGTTACTGAGTGTCTACTACGTACCAGGCACAGGGTGAGGGCCTAGACAGAGAGAGGAGGGGATGGGGAACAGAGCATGCTCAAGACAGGGGATGGGGAAAGAACACAACTCCTAGGGGTAAGGGTTCTGGCGGCACGGAGGAGCCAGGGCCTGGGTATCAGCTGGGTCCCCTAGGAAGCCACCACCAAGACTGAGTTAGAAGTGCAAGAAAGAGATTTATTGGAGAAAATGCCTGTGAAAGATCAAGAGAGAGGAAGCAGGAGTGGGTAGAGAAAGCCTTCAGATTGTGTTGCAGGTCTGACATCTATGGGGAGAGATGTACCAGTGCTCCCAGCCAACAGGGAGACTGGTACAAACACTGCCCACAGAAGAGCCCCAGTGGACAGAAGTGACCAAGCCCTAGTGCCCCAGCTGAGCCCAGTCATTGGTTGGGGGCTGCCCAGGAAGAGAGTGGCACCCGCTCCAGTGCTGCTGCAGATGCTGATGGCTGCCACACCTGGGAACTTAGCCACCCATTTGGCTGGGGCAGCCCCCACTGCAGACCACGAAGGGTAACCCAGATGGAGTCTGGCACTGGGGGAGGAAGCCCATAAGACAGTCGTTTTCCAGAAGATGCCAGGGCTAAGAAGTAGAAATCTGTGGCTACAGGACCATCCCCAGAAGATTTCCAGGTAGAAGACTAAGGCCTTCTGTCAACAGCCATATGAGTGAGCCACTTGGAAGCAGAGCCTTAAGGCCCAATCAAGCCTTCAGATGAGAATAGCACCACCTGACATTTTTTGCGAGGGGGGGGGGGGGGGGATATTTTTATTGAAATATAATTCATATACCACAAAACTCAACCATTTAGTGTGTACACTCTAGTAATTTTAAGTATGTTCATAGTTGTAAAACCATTACCATTACCTTCACCAGAACATTTTCATCATTCCTAAAAGAAATTCTGTAATCGGTAACAGTCATTCTGCCTTCCTCTCTCCTCCTAACTCTGAGAAGCCACTAATCTATTTTTTATCTACATAGCATTGGTTATTGTGCACATTTCATATAAATGAAGTCATGCAATATGTCTTTTGTGACTAGCTTCTTTCACTCAGCATGTTTTCAAAGTTCATCTGTGTTGTAGCATGTATCAGGACTTCATTCCTTTTTAGGACTGGATAATATCCCATTGTGCAGATACACCACATTTTGTTTATCCATTCATCAGCTAATGGATATTTGGATTGTTTTCACTTTGGGGTTATTATGAATAATCCTTCTATGAACATTCATGTAAAAGTTTTTATGTAGACAAATTTTTTTATTTCTCGTGGGCATCTACCTAGTTGTGGAATTGCTGGGTCATGTGGTACTTCTATCTTTAACCATTTGAGGAACTGCCAGACTGTTTCCAAAGTGGCTGCCTCAGTTTATATTGTCACCAGCAGTGCATGAGAATTCTGATTTCTCCACATCCTTGCCAACATTTGTTATTGTCTGTCTCACAGCCATCCTAGTGTGTCTGAAGTGGTTTTGGTTTGCATTTCTCTGTTGGCTAATGATGTTGAGCATCTTTTCATCTACTTATTGGCCATTTGCATATTTTTTGAAGGAATCTGGCAGACATCTTTACTGTAACCTCGTGAGACCCTGAGCCAGAACCACTCAACTAAACTACTCTTGAATTCCTAACCTTCAGAAGTTATGTG